GTCACAAGCCGTATAGCAAAAGCTGGAGGCGCTTTTGCTAAGCTTCGTCACCTATGACGCCGGCGCGACATCACTCTCTCCTTGAAGGGTAAAATTTACAATGCAGCCGTACTTTCGACGTTACTATACTGTTATGAAGCCTGGCCCATTAAATCGTCAGACACAAAAAGGTAGTTACGCTCGATCACCGGTGCCTTCGCAGTTTGGCTCATATCTGGTTGGAAAACCGAGTAAGCCATAAGCCTGCTCGATGCCTTGTGTATGGCACAACACGAGGAAATGAACGGCTCGGCACCGTTATTTCACACACCAGGCTCCGGTGGTTGGGCCACGTGTTGCGTATGCCAGTCCACCGACTCCCGCGACGTGCGTTGTTTGCGCGCCGCGGGTGTGGATAGAAGAAAAGGAGGCGAAGCCAAGCGATAATTTTATCAAGAAGAATGAAGGCCCTCACTTCGAAGCTCGCCTCGGTTGGAGCGTCTCGGCTCCCTGGTTGGGGTCCGAAAGACGATGAAGACGTTTGCCTGGGTACACTTGCTGATATGGCTAGGAGCCGACCTTATTAATCTTCGTGTTATGAGTTTCTTTGTCCCTCCCTGTCCCACTTAGCCTCCTCTACCAACCACGATCTCATTGTTGACGCCTAATACTGGCAAACCTGTCTAAGACGACCACTTAAGGGACCGACAACAGGGTTCCCCTTGGACAGGTTCATATTAGCACCCGTGGAATTGAAGATGAGGTTACGAACCGTATAGCAAAAGCTCGAGGTGCTTTTGCCAATCTCCGCCACCTGTGGCGCAGACGCGACATTACTCTCGCCCTCAAGGGCAGAGTTTACAACGCAGCCGTCCGTTCAACTCTCCTATATGGCTGTGAAACCTGGCCCATCAGGTCGACAGACATGAAGAGACTCGTCACGTTCGATCATCGCTGCCTTCGCAGCTTAGCTCATGTCTGGTGGGAACACCGCGTGAGCAATGAGCGTGTTCGACGTCGCGTATTTGGTGCAGGAAGAGCGAGTGAACCGCTCAGCACGATTATATCACGCACCAGGCTCCGATGGCTGGGCCACGTCTTGCGCATGCCAGCACACCGACTCCCACGACGTGCATTGTTTGCGCGTTGTGGGTGCGGTTGGAAGAGGAGGAGGGGAGGCAAGTGATGACTTGGTCGCGAGAAATGAAAACCCTCACTTCGAAGTTGGCGTCGGTTGGTGCATCCCGACTGCCTGGCTGGGGTCCTAAGGACGGTGAACACGTTTGGCTGGACACACTTGCTGATATGGCTAGGAGCCGGCCCCAATGGCGTTTGTGTTGTGAGTCCCTTTGTCCATCCCCCTCCTGTTTAGCATCCCCCTCCAATCACGATCTCAATCGTTAGGCATAATATGACTTTCTTTTACGGCAGCCAGCTGTTAGCTCTCCGGAACGATGTCCATCCGTTACTGGGGGACTCAGCGGGCGTGCCACTGTTTGTTTGTTTTTTCTTTTCTTGCCTTTTGTATTGCGGCACAATAGCTGAGGTGTTTTCCACCTCCAGCTAACGTGTAATGATGATGATGATGATGATGGACAGGTTCATGCACAGGGGGGACACAACTCATCATCAATTGCACATGTGTACTACACTTTGATCTGCGAACTAGATCTGTACACAGTTTTAGCCTTCCAATTAAAGCCACAACACCACCTCGCATGGTGGTGGAACGTATGCAATCACTTTACCAAGCTCGGAAAAGCGATCAACAGTTGAGCAACCAAGGCGGGCTACCAGTGTTCCAAATTATCTCGAACACTTAGAGATTGTTGAGTTCTCCACCTTCCATGTGGCAGTGATCCAGAACACATCGTCCAATCAATTTTCTCTTTTCATGAACTCAGTTCCGGACAGAAGTTTGTGTGATTCCATGGTAGTGATGTGATATAGAAGCTGTTCTGTCCTAAACTTGAATTAAATGCCTGAATGACACCCTGGTCGATGGATTGAACTAACTCAGTAGTGTTAGATGGCAGGAACTATGGTTTGACGTTATTTAGTTGGATTTTGTGATTGCAACTGATGTTGCACTTTCTTTGCAACATCTTTTTACCAAAGCTTTTAAGCCATGTTCAAAAATAACTTCAGTCTTCCATGCCTTGTAAATTACCGGTAGTTTTTCATTTTGATGTTTTTAACGATGCGGTGGTTGGCTGATGGACACAGAATGCCGTAATTGCTATTTATCTCCTGTAATTTATACAGACCGAATACACGCGTGGCTAGACAATGGCACACAGTATTCCCCATAACATCCGGGAATTACCTATATCGTGTACTTTTGTGGGCAAACCACAGGCTCATTAGACATCCATTTGCATGCGCGAACAGCTAGTTTACCACTGCACTGCTAGTGTCCTTTTTTACTGCCCAGACAGGATACGCATAACGAACGGCTAATTATATGTGCTGCTGTTTATCATAATGTGCAGTGCCCAGACGCTCGCAACAGTCTCATCACGGACCCTTGTCAGTTGCTGTTGCTTTTGGCTATTCCCAAAGTACTTTATCTTTTTTAGCTCTTTGTGAATAACTACTTAACAGTCTGCTTCGTTGGTTATTTATTGATCTTTTTGAGACCATGGCTGATTCGCAAATATCGAAACTCGTTGTTGGACGGACACTAGCTATTTTTGGCGCTTCACTGAGACTTCGGTTTTGGATGCGCCGATTCATTGTTGGGATCTCAGTAATTAGAGCGTAATGAGATGTGGGCTTTGTAGTAACTTTTCTTCACAGACTAAATCAGAAAGCTACTGCACATTCGAAAAAATCTCTGGACGGCCTTTTCATCCTTTTGATAATGGTCGGCGGTGCACTAATGACTGAGCCATGACAACTGTCGCTCTTCCACGTGTCCTAATGGTCCTAACCATTGAATCATAAGCGTAACTTCGCCGATTCTGGGAGAAAAACTGACTGCACGATGCTGACGATTCCCGAAAAAAATGAAACAGCCGTTCAGTGTGATTGCTGTCTGACTGGGTAATTGTTCCAAATCGTACACGATATGCAAATGACGCTAATACGATCCATATGAATCCATTTCCATTTACCTTTCCTCAGGCATGAAGTATTACAATGCAACCGCTTGTGTTAGAAAACCAGACTACCATTAAACAACCTCATTGTCTTTATCCATACGACATCCGTCAGTCCCGGAACGCCCTTTTTACTTTGTTTTTGGTTCCAGTGGGCAACGTGGTTTATCCTTCATCTTATCAGTGACTATGATACTCTATGCATTTTAGCCTTACGAATGTGAGGCTGGAACTACCGATTGAATTAGCACCTGATAACGCCATACTTGCTATCTAGGCTAGGGTGAGGCACCTTGTCTTCAGCCGTACTACTGGAATCCCTTGGAACCAAACTGCATTTGCCTATATTCCAACTGCGATTTCCCCACCATTAGTGCCGCAATCCATGGATTTTGCATCCCCAAGGATGAAACGTGTATTAACTACGTCACCAGCACCCGGGCTCATTGACCACTTATGCGTCGTGATACTGCCGTCTCGTTTTTGTGTTTCAGTGACATGATATCGGCCGGGTCCGGAGGCGGGAATTGTCTATTAAGCCATTCGATCTAAAACACCAGCGTTCAATGTCAGTTACATATCTTTGACTCGAAAAGCTACTCAGTTTGCTACTTAGTAAAGACTAGTTTTTTCGGGCAACTTCGGTGTCCATATTAGGTGCGCAAATTTCATAAATTCAAGTATGAGTGAGCAGTGAACACTGGTACCCTAGTTACTTCTACGGAGTCCACTCCCCGGTTATCAGTTTCGAGAGGTAGGACTTGTGTTTTCGACGTTAAGTGTTCAGCGACTCTGCTTTTAATCGTCTCCTGGTCAGCGGAATTGTTTGTCACTAATTAGCATCTAGACGACAACCATCACCCTCTAAACCTTTGCTTGCGTATTTCGTTAAATGCATAAGAAACACTGTCCGCTCATTTGTGGTGTCAAGAGGAGTTTTCCGACTGTCTAAAACGTGCATATGTAAGGTCACAATGACGGTCGTTCTCTTCTATGTTAGCAAGACCCATCCCCTTCGGTCTGAGCATCTGAAGTACCTACGAGCTTTTGAGTACCGTAACCTACGGAAAATTGCTGTTGTCGAGTAGCACCTACATGTTTACAATGGCTATGTTGTGTGGACAGTTACTGGGTGGTGATAATCAGGTTAGTTCTTCAGAGCATTAGATGACATGGAATAAGTTGAGTTTGCCTAGGCACCTGCTACCGAAGACGACATTGTTTTGCTTTCCAGATGTGGACTGGCGATAGGCTCGCATGGTGCACAATTCGACTTCGCAGTGGAGCAAGTCGTTTTGTGACTCGACTGTATACACTTGGTCTCTCTCTCTATCCTTCCAAGATAGAGTCCACGCAGCTCACCATTTGTCTAGCTCGAAACATTTTAAGATATGGCTAGCATCCGGCACAGGTGACGTGTTCACTGTCGTTTTCTTGTTTGATTGGTTTTCAGAGTGTCTAGTGTTGAATTATCTGCGGCGTAATGGCTGATTATCACCAGAAGCGCACGAAACCGCAGTGGAGCTGTCTGGCCGATATCACCTTATTGTACGAAAGGCAACTATTTGTGACCGTACGATGTTGACAGGGTGTAGGCGCTCTGGCCCTGCTTAGAGCATTTTGCTTTTACCCTGCGTCCCGCTTCTTCATCTCTTATTTTCCTTCATTCCCAAGATGATTCTGGTTTTATGGCAACCAGTCATTAGTTCAATTGCCTGATGTACAGCTGTTTTTGATGCTGATGATATCCAGCCACAGATAGATTTACATACTATATGTTAATCGTCGAATATTTTGACTTACGGCAGCTGACCTGTCTTCATTCTGCATTTCCTCAACATCTTATATCGAGTACCCACAGTTCACCGTGTCCTAGCAGTTTTCAGCTCTTTTTACATTGTTTCTTCTCATTTTCACCAGGAACTGAACTCTGAGGAGCGGCAGTTGGTCGCCGCTGGTGCATACGATTTCGACCATCCCAATTCCTTTGATTTGGATTTATTAGAACATCATCTGAAGCGGTTACGTCAAGGAAAGAGCATTGAAATCCCTGAATATGATTTCAAAACACACAGCCGCACATCAAAAACGGTTGGTAGGACCCTGCGAGAGTTTACGTATTCCCAATTTAATAACGCTATTTATTTGATTCCCATTCAGGGTTTTCGCTGACACACTTTTGTCTGTTGTTTGGCTTTGTAATCTGTTTGAATGGATCCACAGATCGGCCCTACTCAGCGGTGTTGGCAGTGATGGCTGGACTCTTTGACAGCTGAGACTGCCACAAACCGTTTGAACGAATTTTTTCTTATGGGAACGAATCAATCGTTCCCATTGTTTTATAGTTCTGTTCTGGTGTTGGACTAGCTATTAAAAGATGGCGTGTCACTGTTGCATGCGTTGTCATGACACGGAATAACAGTGCGACTCGAGCAACACCGGCAACACGCCACTTTATTTTCCGCAACGATTTATTGAGCCTGCAACGTGAGTGTTTTTCGGTATGTTACACAACCTTGAAAGAAAAACACGTTTGACGTGGCTGCTCGTGACACTCCACTTAACAGCGATCGGTTTTCCACTTGTTTGCACTCATTCACTGTTGCGACTCACACTTCTCACAAGCCGGTAGCGTGTATGGATGAAAGCTTCCGCTGACAGTTCGCATTGCTCCTTTCCCTCCCTAAGGAGTGCAAACGAGTAAGAACGTGGGCACCGCGGAGTACATTGTTTTCCGGCGGGGGCAACACCCCCAACATTTATGCAGTGGTAGTGCGAAGCAGCTTCCATTTTCTCTGTGTCAGTGCTGTGCAATCTAATTGGCTCAGATCAACGACGCATGTGTTCGCATGAGTTTATTTGCTATTCTGCTCCTCGTCTCCTCACTATCGCAAATTCCATCTTATCAAAGGTATCTTTCCCGTTTGTCATCGCTGCTCGTGTGTACATTTGCTAGCACCTCACCAATTTGTAACGATTTTTACCGGAGCCGCAGACTCGATTTGTTGGCTTGTTTCAACACTTACCAACAGATTTTGATTACGAGGGTGGGGAGAGGGTCGATAGTGCTTTGTTCGGTTAGAATCCACATTTTACGCCTTTGTCCCGCCTTGCGACTATCTCTGTAGACTACGCTGAGGTTGCACGTAATAACGCGCAATGGTATCAGTAGTGTCCTGGTAAGTATGCCGCCCTATCTTGATGGATGCTCGTTCATCGCTTTTAATCTTCATCTTAAGCGCACATGACTTGTCTTTAAGGTTTCACTGAGGTTGTAAGCCTGGCATCCCCACGCTTAACTGTTATATCACATTTCTATGTTTCTACGCGGCTTGAGTATGAATCCGTCTGCGGAGGCATCATCATTACACCAGCCAGACCGAACAACGGCACCCAGGTTTTTAGTCCGAGACTTCATTTCCCACTGCCAAGTTAGTTTTTGCCCATCTCGGGTCTTGTGCCACCCTACACCAGGCAGAATAAACAATGTCCTCCTAGGTTAACGGTGGCCAGGCATACGTAGTACGTGCCCGAGCCAACGCAACTTATTCACTGCTACCTGTTGTCCAAAGAAACTAGCTTGAGTATCATTGCCTAGCACTCGCCTAGGCATATCATCATTGCGGACACGCTGGTGCCACCCGACCCCGCCGGTGCTCCGCAGACAGCGATGATCAAAGACTTGGAGATGCTGCAGGTCCTCAGCTCGGAGGGGCCGAATTTCACTCACATAGAGCAGGACGGCCCTCACTGTGGCCTTGTATACACGGCGTTTCAAGCGGAGGGAAACTCCTTTCTGACCCCCGATGTCGCCGATTCAAGAGGGCAGCCTTAGCCTTCGTAATACGTGAACTGACTTCATTAGTTATGCACACGTTGCTGATGCAGCTGCCAAGGTAACTGAATTCTTCTACTACCTCGATTTTATCGTTAAAAATCATCAGGGGGTCCTCAACTGGCTGATGCTCCTGCAGCAACACTTTGCACTTAGAAGTTCCGAAGGGCATGCTAAATGATAGAATCGTACTAAAGAGCTTATTCAGGGTTGATTGTGCCACGACAACATCGTTAAACAGCAAGACAGTAACGTCTGCATAATCATGTTCAACTAGCTTTTTACCAGGCAGCACCTCGACGCCTGAATCCTGAGGTTCCGCAAGGGAGGGAACACTCCAAGATGCAGTCCATGATGTAATCGAACAAAGCGCGAGATTGGACAGCCCTGTCGAACGCCGCCTGTTGACGGAAAGGCATCCGACGAATCACCGTCCTCCCTGACGTGGCCTGTCGTGTTCGATTACAGGATACGAAAGATATTCACATATCTCGCGGGAACTCATTTCCGCGCAAATATTTCGAACAAAATGCATCGGTCGACTAAGTCGAACGCACTCTTGAAGTCGAGGAGCACAGCTATTGTCGGCCTGCGGTAGGTGTGGCGCTGCTCTAGCACCTGTCACAGAGTGAATATGTGCTCTTTGCAGACCCCTTCTAGACAGATGCCTGCTTACTCTTCTCTAATCCGGGATTCTGGTTCCACAGTGAGGCGAAGAACGAGAATTGGGGCCAGTACTTTTGTCACCACCGGCGTTAGGCTAGTGTCCTTGTGGTTAGCACAGTCACTACAATTGTCACTTGTATATCGTCACTATAATCGATTCACTCCAGTCATCCAGGATGGTTTCATCCTTCCACACATGTTCGAACAGGGAGGTCAATGCTTTGCAGGAGACCTGACCATCATCCTTAAATAGTGCAGGTGCGATTGAATCAGGGCCAGCGGCATGAAAACGATTGAGAGCTGCGATCGTGTTTCTGACCTCAGCCTCCGACGGAGGCTCTAAACTAACCGTCCATAGCTCGTCCTGCATCACCTGAGTAGGAAGAGGTCAGGGAGCAGGGGGCCAGCTGAACTGATCTAGGAACTGTTCCGCCCAACGAGCCATACGGCGCTGCTTATTGTGTATCAGTGCACTGGCGGTGTCTCTGATTGTCACACTGACGTGCGGTTTCCTGGGACCAGTGGTGCGGATCAGCTGGAAGAGCTTACGGTAATTGCCTACTGCTCCTGCCTCCTCCATTTCTTGAGCCCGAGTGGTCCACCAGATTTCGTTGTCCACACGCAAGCTCCGTTTTAGTTCGCGCCTAATAGTACACCTAGTTACAGTGTACTCAAGGCCAGCCGGGAGTTTTCTTCTGTATTCCAACACTTCCATCGACCTCTCAGATATCCAGTGACTGTTGCGGTGACGATTGATAGTGCCACAACCAGATGCTCCTGCGTCGTACATGGCGATCGAGATCTTATTCCACTGAAGTTCAGTGTCATTAGGACTAGGGAACGAAAATTCAGTCTGCAATGCAGCTTGGTAGACTTACCTGACCGAGAGCTGAGACAATTTCTCCGTTGCCGATCGAGGGAGATGCTTGGTGGACCTCCCCATAAAGTTCATGGAAAAGCGACAGGGTACCAAGGCATGGTCACGGTCAACGTAAATACTCCAGAACGAGCGAGAATCCAGGATGGATCCACGCCACCCGTAACTTATGGCAATGTGGTCAATTTGGGTCCCTTGCTGGCCAGCTACTGGAGGACGCCAAGTGGCACTTCGGTGCCCCCTATGTCTGAAAGCGGTGTTACTACTAAACAGCTGATGCTCCGCACACAGTTACAACAAGGCTTACCGTTGTCCGTACGGTTGGAGTTACTTATATGCTTGCCACCGGGTAGAGCTGAATAGCTCAGACGACATAAATGCGTATTCATATACCCTACAAAAACTATGATTTCTAAGCTGGTAGCGCTGCTTACTAGCGCATTCCGTTCGTAGTTGAAGGTGTCTTTGGTGGCATCTGTACGGCATAAGCGGAAACCACAGACAAATTGTTTCGTGAACCAACCTTAGTTGATGTCCTCAAACGAACTACACACACACGGCTTTTCACGGGGATCCAAGCAAATACCGATACCCACCTCGACTTGTTCAGTAGTTGCCGCATCAGCGTTTCCAGTTGCGTGCAACCAATAGCGAGAGGACAAGCCGGTCACAGTTAATTCAACAACCCCGTTAGGGTCATTGTTCCTAGTTTCGGACACACAATACACTCAGTACCCAGCATGTCTATTGTGCGTGGGAGCGCAGCCTGTTGGCCTAGTTGCCTTCCAGTGCGAACGTTGAACGCTGTCGAGGAAGCGGGGTAGCGATTCATTATCAGGGGCTGTCGCTGATAGGCCTCCAATAGGGGGTGCGGGAAGGTAGTTGCGGATGGTGTGACTTGGCATCGCGGCTGATGTCATCTAAGCTGGGAATTGTAGCAGGAAAGTTAGTAAATGGGGGTCGGGGGGAGTAAGAGAGACTGATGTAAGAGACAGGTAGGCATGAGAGGTAGCATATTTTCGGCTGTACATCCTACTGTATACAGCAGGTAAAGCGACCCTTAAAGCTGTGCGACGGCTGAGGGAGAATGTGCTTGACTTTTGATGAAATAATTTACCAAGATCTTTAGGATGCACCTTTCGACTTTGTTGTCACATTCGGGATAACCTATATCGAGCGGATGTGTCCTACCTCCTGCATTTGTCATTTATCTGCTGGTGTCGGAAAGGATTGCACGTTTACGTCGTAATCTTGAGGTTCGAATTCGGCTGCATGTGGGCGACCTTGTAGTATACTTAGCCCTTGCACACTAGCGCTGGTCGCGGGCCAGCGATGGTTCTATACTCTGTGTTAGTGTACTGTTGATCCGTTCACCACCTAATGATTTACATTATGGCTATCGTTGGTGTCCATTAAACTCCTTTCTAACAGGTCCATATCCACTCTGAACCCGTTCTTTTATCACCAGTTTCACTTCCTCTGGGTATGTTGCTGCCTTGAATGGACTACACTGGATACATATCACTGCGACAGTGTACTTCTCATCAGCTGTACCCAATATGGTGTTTAGAGTAAATCCTAACATGTCCTGTGGACTCTCATTCATCTCTGTCTTCCCCTTGTCATTATTCTCGTCCACTTGGTGGCGTTTTTGTAATCCTTCTTAGCATCAGACTAACCAGTGGTTAGCGTGTTCTGTTTCCTATGTTTTTACACCATCAAGCTTATAAACCTCTGCAAATCACAAGTACGCTCACTCCCACCGTCTGGATAGGTGTACACGTACGTTGTTCTATCCAATTGCAAGGAAGTCTGTTTTCTGCGTTTAGGCAGACACTGTATTCCTCTTGGCAGATGGGAACCCAAAATCAGTGGTCCTCCACTTAGTTATCGGCCCGCTACTGTTGTTATTCCTTTTTCTGCATACCCATATTTTCACATACATGTAGTGACGCCGAATTTTCCGCCTATGTCATTTGTATTCACCATTCTACTTTTACCCTGTTATACTACAGAAAACCTTGTACGGTGCTAATGTAATCATTATCGAAGGGATCCTCTCGTTCTATTCACCTGCCGTCACGAAGGTGAGTCATCGCCCTCCCCACTTGCTGCCTCCGACGCTTGGTTGATCGCAGACTCTCGGGGTTCGAGGCGTACCTTTTCTACTTACCCGCCTCTCATTATCGTCGCGGTTATCATCATCAATGTATACATGCTGCGTAGTGCCTACTCGCGCAGCACTCTGTACTCAACTGCCTGTCTCGTATTTGTTTCCACTCACCCGGTGGAGATAGCCTGAGCTGTGACTCGAATTCGGGGCGTAGACATCTTTATCGGAACCACTTGCTGCTACACCATTGAGCAGCGGGTAATGTTTGTCACTGTGGGATCAACAGCGATGTAGGTCGTGTGATTTTCGGTGAAATATGCTGCTTCCGCTTTCTTGAAATGTTTGACTGTCGCTTTGTCCTTGCATTGATTTCTTCCCGTCGGTACTTGTGTTTCAGTTTTCGTTTTGTCCTCTGTCCACTTCGCCACTGGGGTTCAACGGTGCTGTTGCGTTTCCTCAACTTGCTTCTTCCTTTACAGCTGCACATTATACTTCATCTACATTTCCTGGTCTCGCCTCCTTTCGAAATTGCATCCGACCTTGTACTCCCTGTTCATGTTCCGCTTGTGGTGCTGCGCAGGGTTCTGATTTTCTTCCATACCGGTTATTATCGGAACACACTAATTCATGCGTCTACACATAGCTGCAGTTTCTCGCAAATCCTCTCTGATTCTCTTTCTCATGTGCTCCTTTCCCGTCTCTGTTCCGTCATCTCTTGTCCTAGTGTACGACACTCACTGCCTAGATCTACTTCCCATTACACAGGGAATTGTTACACACTCTGCCACTTTGTTGTTTGTTGCGCCTTTATGCAGCACACTACACTCCATCACCGGTCCCGTGCTTGTTCCCACTCATCCGGTGGAGATAGCCGGAGCTGTGACTCGAATTATGAACATGGTGATCATTTATCCGTAGCCCTGTATGCCACCTACCGAAGTAACCCGGATCCACTCATAGGTGAATCGCGGTCCCGATGAGGTTGCGTGTCACCGTCCATTCATGCAGCGAGTGCTTCAAACTGCGATCCCACGTGTCAGTCATAATTAGGCATTCTGAGCCTCTACCTATCTGCTAGCAACTGTGGTTAAGTAGTAGTCCCTAGCCAAGAGATATATTTGGATAGGTTCATATCTCTGAATGTCCATTCATCGGTTGCTCATCAGATAAACGTAGTTTTGGCGCTGCTTTGGTGATGAAACAGATAGATCAACCGGATCCGGCGGAAGGACACCCTCCTTCGGATGTTCCTTGATCTATCACCTGATATCCCTGTGCTCGCGAGTGAGTATTGTTCTGAGGCTGATTAACCATTCTTACACATCACACCGCATCGTCGCATGTTAGCTAAGGATGCGAAACACCAAATTTATTGTGCCGCAATGCAACACCCTTGACCAGCAGGTTTGCTTTGTGTACACGCCATAGGGAGGTACACTCACAAGAAAATTGGTAACTACAACCAACTGCAGAGGCTAAGCATGACATAACGCAATGATCCATACTGGCCATTTTACAACCGATAACATTCAGTCGTATCACATCTCTGAAGAGGTTGCTATCCGTCTTTTCTCTTCCATGCTAAGACCGGTGCTTGAGTGCGGCCTATTGCCCGATCACAGTGGGTGAGGTGCAGAGAGTGGAACGGGTCCAGCATGTAGCTACCCGGCTCAACCCCAGTTTACGAGGTCGTACGCGGACCGATGTAGTAGACTAGGGCTTTATACCCTGTCATATTGTCAGCTTCGAGTTGACCTCATTATGACGCACCGGATACTGCACATGTGCCACTCCCCTACGTTGAGGCCGCAGTTGCACTTTCGCGCACCAAGCAGCACACGCGGACACCGGTACAAACCAGTGGTACCGGATTTAAAGCGCATCGCTCACCCTCTATGCTTCGAGCGTCGTGTGCTGAAATATCGGAACTAATTGCCGGAGACGCCAGTCGAGGCGAACTTGGTGTCGGAATTTAAGAGGTTCCTTGACGCCCACCTTGCGGACTGCAAGTATAGGGAGCGCATTACACCTGGATGAGATGTAGTGCATCTGCAATACGTTGCCACTGCGCAGGAATCAGTGACCTGATTCCGCGCGTGTGCCCGATTCACCTACGATTGGGCGACACAGATTTCTCTTAGTATTCTTATTTTGTCTTCGAAGGCTAGCCAACATAACTGAGGAGTCTATGAATGAGCACCAGTTTGTCTTTGGTCGTAACAAGCCATCATGATACCGGTCCATTATCAGGTGGTGGCGAGCTGTTTGTTCAAGAAGTGATGATTGTGGAGCGTGACATGGAGGAATTTCGTCACAATGACACACTTAGATGTCAGCCAGCGGCCTAACAGTTGACTGTGTTTCCGTATGCTAATTGGGCGCACATCTGGAGCTATCAGGTTAGACTTCAGGTGTTAGGAGCTTGATACTTACTTACGATTTATGCAAATAAGACAAACAAATTCATGATCGATCACATGCTCACCACTTCATTATACTCATCGACTAACTTCATCTGATTGATCAGCACTATCTCCTGATGTCTACTTGTTTTTGACACCGCAGAATCAGTCATACCATGCCTTGTTCATCACTCAGAATTTTGCGTAACTGGCTGTGTAAATGTTGTCACTCTGCAGATGATCGAATGACACCATCTTATAATACTGTGACACAATGGCTGAGCTGTGTTTCTCTCCTATAGCTAAATTATGTTATGATGATGGTGATATCTAATTGCAAAATCAAAAGCCTCTTGTAAACTGTCTTCTGAAAGTTGTACATACTTCCTGCGAAATGTCATCGGCATTCGGACTAGGTTATTGCAGCTTCGTGCAACTGGCAACCATACCCATTCGATGAAAGTAAAAACGCTTCCTGGAGACTTATCCTCCGTAACTTTGCGAGTGACGTTTTATTTGAAGACAACAACCCGTTTGATTCACCTTGCCTTCCTTTTTTTATCCTTCTGCTGCTTTACCCCTTGTGCCTGCATCACAGCTGATGGATTTGAAGGTGTTTGTGGACACAGACGCTGATGAGCGATTAGCTCGGCGACTTCTTCGCGATACTGCCGAACGAGACCGTAGCCTTGAGAGCGTTTTGGAACAGTACAACCGGTTTGTGAAGCCCGCTTACGATCAGTTCATCGCTCCCTCAATGGCTCAAGCGGACATTATCATACCACGCGGTGAGTGATCGCCCACCTCACGCCTGGCTAAACTCATCCATTATGTCTGTTTCCAGCGGCCATTAAACGAGTTACAATATTTTCTCCGCATTGTACACCAGTGCAGGTATGCTGTTTCACTTAGGCCTGCACTGTATGGATCCACGCATCGATCTGTTCCACTAGTGACAACTGCAAAGTCGTCCGAGGTCTGTCCACACAGCTGCACCCTCGCCTGCATACCACTGTGCGTACATTCGATTGAATTTACAAACTTGCTCGGACAGCCAGTTACCCAACACCAGCTGCAGTGACTCTCGGTTCACCGTATCAAATGCTTTGATGAAGTCAACAAAGGGCGAGTACAACAACTGGTGTCGCTCTCTGCACTTCTTCTGCAACTGACGAGCCGCAAACACCATAGCTATAATGCTGCGACCCGAACGGAGTCCGCATTGCTCTTCCGCCACATGCGCTTGAACAACTTGAGGGACGGGGCGGTTGAGCCGGATTCGAGCAATCACCTTGCCCACACAACTCGGCAAGTTGATCCCACGATAATTCGTGTAACATTGCTTGATTTCTTTGCCCTTGTACAGTGGTAGCACAAGTACATCCTTAAAGTCAGCTGACACCTCTTCTTCAAGCTACATGCGTGGCACCAAGCGGTGCAGCGCATATATGAAATCAGGTCCGTCGTGTTTCAACTCTTCTGACGCCATTCCGTCGGCTCCGGCGCACTCGTCGTTTTGCAGCTGCGCAACTGCTCTCTGCATCCGTAGCACTGTCAGTGTGTCCGCATGGTGCGCCTTCATCCCAGCTGCTGATTGGTTCTCCGAGCTTGGTTAAATAATTGCAGTATGCCAGGTAGTGGTAGTGGTAGTAGTAGTAGTAGTAGTTGTTGTTGTTGTTGTTGTTATTGTTGTTGTTGTTGTGGCAGTCGCCGTCGTCATCTCAGCAGTCTATCAACTAGACACAGAGCCAACATAAAACCTTGGAGATCAGCGGTATGCGAGGTGGCATTGTCAGCGTCGAGCTGCGCGGTGGACAAAACGGAACCGGTCCACACTCTTTCAACATGCACATCAGCGTTACTTTCTAAGTAAGGAGGCATGCATACGAGACGTACGTAAGGCAGTCGCTGGTCCGTAGCTTGCTTCACACCGGATGAATAGAACCACTCTTTGAGCGTAGCGCAGTCTTCTTGGCTGTGTACCCGTCCCCCCAGCCACGGTTAAAAGTCTGCTGGAGCCAGAAATAGAGGTAAGGGATAATAGACAAATAGTAGATAATAGACAAAAATTGCCTCTCCTAGTTTTAAATGCTATGGATATAGCGTCTAGTAAGAGGACGTCATCACCTCCCACGCTCACCACTGTCAGTGACAGATGAAGTGGTGCTATATCCCAGTTAGTTTGCAAACGATGTAGTCCAGTCAACGTCTCCTATGGCTCAGTTGTTTAAGCTGCTGACTACTTGGCATCTGCCTCCAGCGGTGATAGCTGCGATCTTAGAGGATCGCGGGATTCCGCACCAATGACGAGCCTCAATAGGGCGAAACGCGTATGGTTCTTTTCCGGACTAGGCTCTTCTATGTAGCCTGTGAACTACTGGGATGAAAGCCTCAACGAAATTACAAATAAAATCGTGCTATTCGCAGGAAATAGGCACCTTGTTAACATTCAGCTCAAGTTGGCCATCTCATTGAATCAGCGAGACTGCTAGCCGCGCATCACCTCATTCACGATGCCAACTCGTAGTGGTGAAGCGTGTACAACCATTGAATTAAGCTCGGAGATCGCACCCACAGCTGAACAACCAATCCGGGCTACCAGTGTTTCAAATTATTTTGAACCTCTTCACCTTTTGTTGCAACCCGTGCAATAAATCCAAGTCAATCTCCCGCGGTTGCTCAAGATACAGTCGAAGTGCCTTCGCCAGATCTGCATTTCGTATGCAAACAGGGTCTGAAGTATCATCCAGCAGCGTCCTCATAGGCTGCAAGGTGGGACCGTACACCGTCTCCAAGGAGTCAAAAAATTTTTTGTGTCGGCGGTTTTCGGCGTAGCACTCCATCTGCTTCGCCCTCTCCGTCCACCATGCATTCTTGACGCAACGGAGCTATCGGGTCAGTCGCCGTCGAAGTTTGCGAAGATGACTCTTCTTCTCGGTGTCTTTTTGGTCCGCCACATGTACAGCAAATGCTGGATTCTTTTCCGACATCACTGCGCCAATGGTCGCGTTGTAATAAAAAACCAATCGGGCCGCTTACAATTTACTTGCCCGATGGTCTCTTCAGCAGCAGCCATCACCTGTTCACTGGTGTGGTTCCACAGGTCGCTCATTGAGGTACAGATTCTACATCGCCTTCTCTGGTTTCATCCTTTTCTCAATATTACCAGGAGATAGAACATTTGCTTTCCTCCGGTTCGCGGCAAGCAAGTAATACATAAATTTATGAAAATAAATGTACAATTTGTTTCGCACCGACTTGTGATCAGTGCCGCACTTAGCTCCACGCAGTACACTTGTAATGCGCACTTCGCGCACGTCACGCTGACGCACGATGCATGGTCGACCAAATGGGCGTGACCACTCCGTGAGTGCGCCAAACTTGCTATGTCACTCGCACCCAGTGCCCTGGGTGTTCGTGATCGACAGGCCCTGACTGGCACACAGTGAAGGCAGCCGATCATTGGCTGCGCTGATACCATAACGTTTGTCCATACTGCGGATCACGCTTAACACGTGCGTTGAAATCGCTCAGTAGGAATAGCCTGTCGCCCCTCGTCACAGACCGTATCACGGAGGACAACCGCGTAACACTGACCCCTCTTGTCATCAGGATAACACATGATGGGGCCATACGTGCTGATACAAGTGGCCAATGTGCCTATTCTAATTCGTAGGTATGGAGTCATCAATCGTGCGCCAGTAGACTGCCACCAGCTGGCCATTTAGGCAGTCGCATAGTGCAAATCTGACCCCTAGTTCATGTTATACTGTGGTGGCGCTCCCCACCCAGTAGAACGTATAACCAGCACCAGCTTCATGTAGCTTGCCTTGGTCAACGAGCCGAGTCTCAATAAGTGCAACAATGTCGATGCCGTAGCGCACGAGTTAGGTCGGTACCAGTGCCGTGCGTTGCTCGGCGCGTTCATTCGAGTTCCGCTCGAATAATGTACGCACGTTCCAGCACCCGATGTCGAGTGCCTTTTCCTAAGGCATACGGTTGCGGTGGCGATCAGTCATTCGTGCGATGACCTGTATCGAAGGAAGTGGTGGGTTTGTTGCATTGGGGGTCGGGAGAGAATGTGCAAAAAAAGGGAGGCGTCAGCGGTAGCATGTTTTCACTTGTCCACCCCGCCCTTTGCAGCATATAAGGCGACTCTTTTCGCACCCCGCCACTGCGCGACGGTCGAGGCAACACGTCATTATCAGTATCGGTACATTTCATGGTTACGGGAGAGCCTATGGTGCGCTGACGCTGGTCGTACCTAGATCGTGACAGATGGTCTACGCATTTCTGCTGCTACTATTGTGCCATGAACTCATGTCCTAGACGCCTCCTCGTGGCGGCTGCTGGGTGGGAGTTGGGTTACGCCCTTCTCCCTGATAAGATCCAGGACACTAATCCGCATGAGTCAGTGAACTGACCATGTGCTAGACCCGCTGCCTTTCGGGTGTACATTTCATCGAAGGCTTTCTCTGAGGACCCGAGTCGTTCTCCTTTCAGGTGTGGGCGCCCTGCCAGTATCCTAGTCCATCTTCTTCGGAGGTTAGAAAGTGGTCGATGACCTTCTTCCCTAAAACCTAGCCATGGGAGACAACAGGTCTACAGGTTATAAGCTCACATATCGATTGGCGCAAAGCACGAGCGCCACGCATTGTCTCCGACGGTGGGAGGGCATCTCCGGGTGCTCAATGGTTTGCTACTGCCCGCCTCAAGCCAGGCAGCCCCTGGTCAAATTGGTGTAAACCAGCCAAAACCCAACTGCATCTGGCCCTTGTCGCAGGTGTATCCTACTACGGTCGCAAAACACATGAATTGTTCCGGATCTTCAAAGACTGCGTGTGAAGACCGTCAAGCAGATCCCAAACTGTTTCCGCAATCACATTCCAGAGCTGGATCAGCTCCTCACTGCCTTGTGGATCACGCTATTGAGCCAAAGAATACGGCGCAGTACCTCAAGCAAAACCCCAAACAAGCCACTACCCTGTGAATCGGGCTATTGAGCGAAAAGCTCCGGGCGGAGTCCCACAAGCAAATCTCCAGATCACCCCATGCATTGGGAGTCAGCTAATTGAGTCAAAGGCTCCGGTTGGAGTGTCTCAAGCAAACCTCCGAAACACATCTGCCACCTCGCGTGCAATTGCCCACCAATGCAATCGTATGCCTGCGCGTAAAGCACTCAGCATCGGGTTCTGGAACGTGCGCACACTACTTGTCCGGAAGTCGGGTGAGCGCCACGAGCGACGCACTGCACTGGTCGCGATGGAACTGGCACGCTACCACATCGATACTGTGGCGCTCAGTGAGACTCGGCTAGCCGAGCAAGCTAAGTTGCATGACGCAGGTGCTGGCTACACATTCTACTGGGTGAGCAACGCCGCCTCAGCACCACGTGAACATGGGGTCAGATTTGCAATATTTGATCGCACCCATGGCAAGCTGGTGGGTGAACCAACAGGCATCGGCGCGCGACTGATGACTGTTCGCCTACGACTCGGAAGAGGTAAGTTTGCCACCTTTATAAGCACGTGCGGTCCGACCATGTGTTATCCTGATGACACGCGTGATCAATTCTACACTCAGCTATCCTCCGTGATAGGTCGTGCTGAGGAGCGACCGACTATTTCTGCTGGGTGATTTCAACGCGTAATCAGCGACCCCAGATTTTCAAGCTATTGGAAGCCATCTGCATCGACCGAGAGTGGCCGCTGCTTTGGGTGCAGAAACAGTTGACTTGAGATCCGGTTAATAACCATATCCAGTGTAAACCCTAAGGAATAAGACCGGG